GATAGACTTACCTCCACGTGGTGCACCCTGAGCAATGTATACTCATACTGCAAAAAAGTCTATTAACTGGCAGTTGACTTCTGACTTCAAATTCCCCTCACCCCATTGTATGTCATATTCGAATACTTCCACAGTACTCACCTCACCTTTTCCCACTTTTGTGTCTGTCTCTTTTATATCTTTGAAACTTTCTTCTGTTCAACCTCTCCCTCTCGACTTGTTTCACTTTGATGTTCCTCCTTTGTGAAGCCTGAAGTCAACTAATGGGCTAATGATAACTTCCACAACACCTGTCATTTGATATAAATATGTAAATAAATGATCAGGTGAAATACTCATGAGCGAAGTAATGGAAGTTCGAGTCATAGAAACCAGCGATTTGTTAATTAAAAGTACACCTGTTACCCTAGGAGACCATGAATGGACATTAAGTAATGTGTATTTTGATTGGTCAAATGAACTATGGCTCAAATAATTAACAAGTATGAGATAAACAAACAGGGTTGATTTCGTAAATTCATGTGCGTAACGGCGTAGAAGAATAAAGTAGCACGTGATGCGAAAACCAATTAAATGTTTAAAATAAGTCTGTTGTGTTCCGGGCTATCAAACCATTTTGCTTAGTACTTTCCATTCAATCTCCCTAAAATATATAATAATACAACTCCCATATATATTCCCTAAGTATTTCATACTGACAATCGGTTCGACACTTGAGATGTGCCACTTCAAACCCGCGATCAAGTAAAATGAGCCCCACAATATGGAGGACTCCCAAAGCCGTAAACTCGTGGAGATAGTTCGGCCTGACTAATCGCCTGTTTGCGGTCGTCCCACCAATTCGCTCATCTCGAATTCAAAATGCGTGCATACCCTCTCTGTGCACCGCAGTACTCACCACTACCTAGAGGCAGCTCACCCGTTTATTCCCCGCAGTCAATAAGAAGACGATTATTAGTAAATATTGATGGTTGAAGTATATTCTTTCTCTATTCTGGTTACGTAGAGAAAGATGGAGGAAAACAGAAGATAAAGCCGGTAGAATAGCTAGTACTACTTCTAAAACATGTCACCTTCGTCTTCTTCAAAGTAAACAAAATACTATCGACCAGATTACGAGAAGTAAAATTGTTAAGATTCAAGTCTGGGAGGGGAAGAATATTGGATGTGAGTCATCGGGGTGGGGGTGGGGTGGAGGCAAAAGTCACTCGGGAATAAGAATCTGCACAAAATGGTGAGTAGTGAAATCGCTACTGCTTTGGCGCGCTGGGCATTAGAAAAGTGATAGAAAAGTTCTCCGAGATAAGCGAACAAGTTGACATTTTCGGCTGGTGAGCGGAGAATGGCTAAAGTTGAAATAAGCATTCGACTTAATTAAATTACATGAAATTTAATCTATAAAATATAGTGCCGCTGTTCAAAAGTCCATTGTGAGAAAAGCATTCAAATTTATTGGCTTAATTGATAATCATGATGATGCAGTGAAAGCACATTTATGAATAAATATTACTTTTGATTCGAGTTGTGCAGTACTTATTTAAGTGTTAATTCATCAAAAGTGGATGTTCGACCTAACCGAATTCATTCATTTCACCTTCCACTGCAAGATGATACGACCTTGTGACGTTTAAAAATATTCATATGATCCCAGAGCCGGAGAGAGAGAGAATAGAATATTGAAACTAGGCATTTTAAGTATCGCATAGCTCATTGAAGAGGTGAAAAAAACGCTGTCTAGGAAACCTCTCTTTATAGTCGTACGGTAAATTTATGGAAAAGCTAATAAAAGCCACCAACTCCATTGTACTTGCGCATAGATTCTCAATAGGCGAAAGTTTATCATCTTTGAAGATTAGCCATTATAGTAGTCTGATCAAACCTTCGCCAAGCGGCCCCCTTTGAAAGGGAACTAGAGGGCTTGATTGGCCACATCTGATCCAATTTAGAATGTTAATTCTTTATTCAATAAAAAATGCTTCTTCCACACACAAGAGTACCGCCCTTCTCCAAATTGAACTACACTATTCTAATTTAGAGCGCATACACCATACCTTCCTGAAAATGTGCACTAGGAATCATCTGTCACTGATTCCCTTCAATTTCTACCTTAATGAAATTCCCTTCAAGAAAGCTGGTTTTATTCGTTTGGAGCTTGGTGAACTCGAGTTATTTTGCCCCACCTGTTACTTCAACAACAACTTATATAACAATATAACAATAGATTTAAATCTTGAAATGAATCTTTGCCAATTGGACATATTAACCTTAACTTTTTAACATCTATACACATCCCAAAAGTTTTATGATACATTAATCATAAAAGGCTGTCTAATGGCAACCATATAGCCATATTATCCCGTTTAATATAATGAGAAATAGAAATTGTCCAAAAATAATTATTTCACTAATTCAATCACAAACGCAAAAAAAATTGTGCATTTGAAAATCATTAGAAAATAAATAGGAATAAATCATCTAACACTTGCAAACGAATCATTTAGGATTATAAGGAAATCAAAGGGAATTCAATTAGGCATCTACACTCACAAAAGCTATACTTACTTTATCGTAAATGGTTATCATCAGCGACAAATTGAATCTGGTTTATAAAGATGGCGATTTGATAAGATAAACATTTAAAGCTACTTAAAAGCAATCAGTAAAATGGGTTTAAATGTCATATGCTCACCGAAGATTTGAGCTTTGCGGAGGACAAAGGAAGTTGACCATCGCCCAAATTGGATACGGACGCATCATCTGTGAATGACGAGTCATTTCGACGCACCTGCTGACTTAATACATCGTCTGGTGTATTATTGAATGCCGAATTTTTCGAATGACAAGAAGTATAACCACTCATTTTCCGTTTACTAAAATACTTTCGAGTTTCCCAAGCAGATATTAGCCTCAGTGGTGCATAAGTTAGAGCTGACAGAAGAAATACCAATCCGCAGACATAATAAGCCCAATTTAATGGATTTTTATCCGCACCTGTGAAGAGGTATTGAGGTTCTGACAGTAATTGGGCATTTATCTGTACGCGAGATATGACTTCTGTAAGTAACCCTACATAAACACATGCGATAAAAACGTTACTGCAGCTACATAAGTAGGATATATATTTATTTATTTGTGTAAACTGCTACCTATTGCGATGGGTCCGGCGATAGCTCCAGTGCCCTGAAATACAAGAAGATACACAAAAGCTGCTGCCAGATGATGGACGCCTATTAGTTCCACGGCAATTAAACTTCGAAGGGATATTGCAAGAGCTGAAAGGGGAATTCGGACCGCTTCAAATTTATGCAAATTGCGGAAACACCCTCCAATTAGCACTTACCACTGAATAGTGTGTGCAGGAAGACGAGGACAAAGAGAATGCCCCTAAGAGGTGTGAAATATGAACAGGCGGGAATTTGTTGGGAAGACGAGATTGGAAGAGTGGTGAAAGGAATGCAGATAAGACAGAAACCTCCAACCACCAACGAAAAAATATTGAGGATCATTGGATCAGCTAATTTACGTAACAGAGTATGGAGGATTCGGCGTGGAAACCGTATAAATATCGTACTTTCGTCATCACTGTCATCGCCTTCACGGTGATGGAGAAATGACGGCTCGCTGACAATGCGCTCGATGTAGAAGGCTGAGCACAAACAGGTAAAGAAAAGAAACAGATGTGAATGTAATACAATAAGGTTACAATTATCATTCTTCGATCTCTTCCATATAAATCAAATCTTCGTCTGAATATTGCTCCATGAGTTCGATACGCCACAATCAAAAAATGCGAAAATTAACCTTTTCGTCTTAATAAAATGAGAGTAGAAAATTCGAACCACTTCAAGAGTTGAACTTAGTCCGACCACTTTTGTTTTAGAAAATCAAAAAAACAGCGAAACGATTAAATGTTAGTAAATCGAAGAAAGTCTTTAGAGGATGGGTATCAGCTTTATCTTCAGCCTTTGTGTTATCATTTATTTATAAAGGCGTTTTGATAGTTATCGTTAGCATTATAGAAGCGTTTTGATGGTTATCATTAGCCCTTTATTTGACTTCTGGTGGCTTCACAGAGGGGAGGAACATCAAAGTGAGAAAAATTCAAGAGGGGGAACTCACAGAGAGGGAGGAACATCAAAGTGAGAAGAATTCGGGAGGGGGGAAAAGAAGAGTGATTCACAGATGGAGGAACATCAAAGTGAGAAGAATTCAGGAGGAGGAATAGCAGTGAATTCAGGAGGGAGAATAGAAGGGTGTTTCAAAGATGTAAAGAAACAGACACAAAAGCTCAGAAAGGGTAAGATGAGTAGTGTTAGGGGTCGACTATGACATACAGTGGGGTGATGGTTGTTTGAAGTGAGAAGTCAACTGCCGATTAATAGAATTTTTTGCCGCATGAGTATACGTTGCCCAGGGTGCACCACGTGGAGGTAAGTCTATCGCACACCCCGCCATTGTGTTATCATAAATAGAGGTAAACAAACAAAGCCACTTTCAAGAATAACAGCTTAACAGGTAGACATATTTCACATTTGCTGATAAAGATCGCTAACAATAGTAGTTAGTTGCACTCATTTAAATATGCTCTTTCGTGAGGAGTTGTGCAACCATATTTAATGTTGAGTTAGAAAGCCTTTTTATAATCCTCAGTAATGGGCTCCATCGTATAATTAGGTGAAAGTGGCTAAATACGAGCAACAACAAAATGGCCAATCGAGAGAGAGAGGGAGAGAGAGAGAGGAGGGAGCTGGAAGCAGACATACAGAAGCAGAGTAAAAGTTGCTCCATCGAAAGAGCTCCACTTCATCTTTATTCCAGGTCTATTAGTTTGTTCAATTTACTATTGCAAAATTTGGGCGTTACTTTATTCAGGAAGTAGAGCATTGGAATACAGAAGCACGAAGTGATAAGGAAAATGGTATAAGGCTAATAATTTGAAAACCTTGATAGAACTCTTCAACCTCTGCTCAATCACCTTTACCGGACAGTTTCATTACTACACGAGTCCAGATATATTGAAACAGGGAAAAATTGAGGAAATGCAGCCCATTCACCGGAATATATAAACCAGCTCAAAAACTTCTCAATTGAATCATTATGAAATGAATCGGCATTAAATGTTTCCCAATTCACTTTGAAATCAACCGCTCTGAAAGTTGACTTTAGATGGTAGATTGTTCGACTGGATGAACTCTACAATGGTGAAGACGTGGGGGGCGCCATTTGGAATTCAATAGTTACTAGTTAAGTGAAATGAGAGTGGAAGAAAGAAATCTTATTTCTAACGCAAATTATTATCCATTCCTCGGCATAAACCGCAAAAAACTATTTTAAAAAATTTGAAGGAAAAAATGTCCTGAACTGCGAATATCCAATTTTAGTGACTGGGTACTGGAGAATTTACAGGAGGACTCAATAACTAAGCGTCACCACTTCAAGTGGCTTCTAGTGCTTTACCACAACACAAGGCCATGTTTTGCTTCAGAGACTAATCCAAGGTCGCTTATCAAGTCAACTCGTCCTCTTATTCCGCCTTCACTTCTTTCCTTGATTGGTCCATTACCTCAAATTTAAGCGACTCCGTATGGAACCTCACCCAATAGAGACAATTTTATCTCTTCAACTGGGACCATTTCTGTCTCCTTTAAGACTGTACCAGTTGAGCTGTCCCACAAAATTGTAAATGAAATGGAACTATGAAATATCTTTGCTTCCTCTTCTTAGTTGGAACGAAATAAGACATGGACGGGTAGCATTAACACTTGCACTAAATTAACACCAAAATATCAACTTTTTTGCTCCCTTGAATGAAATAAAAAGTAATGAATTCACTTAGCAGTCTATAATGGCGCCAATTATTATAAATATTTAACATATTCACAGAAAAACGTCCATTATTGATTGAATTGACTGAAAACGGAATGAGAATCATTAGGCTGAACGACCATTAAAATCCAAAAATACGCTTCCAAGTGATGGATTAGTTAAAAGGAACGACTGCACAATCCTACACCCCATCCCACCCCCCACCCCCCAAAAAAGCGATCATACTTCCTCAAAATGAGTCCAGTAATTTGGAATCAATATTTCTACTTAATGAAAAACTGACAAGCTTTTATGCCCTTTCGTGGAAAATAAATGAAAATAGGAGATGGCACTTACTAGCAATAAGTCTTCCAAGAAGATGACCGATTCCAATGGTGAAGGTCAGGCTTACTGGACTAGCTAGGAGCTCTGGAATTCGGAAGGTACCGCCGAAGTAGGTGGATAAAATCAATTGACCACAGGATAATGTCCGACCTTCCAGAGAAATGTATACTGGAAGCATATGGTAGGGTGCGAAAAATGCTGAAACAAATTTGGAAAGTTAGTTAAATTGGCTTAAATTATGGACACAAGCAACTTAATAAAACAGATATTTTAATCTAATCAAACTTAGAGTGACATAGAAAGCCAAAGTGCTTTTTGTCGACATGTGAGGTTACGGGTTTGATGAATAGGAGTTATACATAAGCAACAAAACAGGAAATTTGAGGTGGTTTAATGTAAGAGCTAGAAATGAAATAAATGAGCCCTTGCGTTGCTTTTTGAAATGAAATAAATTTAATTTCAATAATATCTTTTCTTACAGGCTTATCCACCAATTAGAACGTGAAGTTTATGCTTAGTTTATGCCATCGTTTATTTTCGCAATATAGCAACAATAGATTAGACCTCCTATTATGTACTGGTGAGGTAGGGGGTGACTAATGCATTAGTCAAGTCGGCGATCGATGCCAAGATGCTCAGACGCTCAAGAAGGGGCAAGTACCGTGATCAATCAGAGTGATCGAGAGGTACTAGAATGCCTCAAATTTATGCTCCTCTACTTCTAAATATCTAGTCATGAGGTGGTTACTTGAAATACCAATTTTATGGGAAATTCCAAATTGCCATTTAACTTCAGTCCAATATGCGTCAATGATTTGGAGAAACACTCTCCTAATCCCCTTACATTTCCGGAAGGGAATAAAAAAACACTGCGAGAACAGGAAGTAGCTTTTAGGAGGTGGTAAAATTGAGTTTTCTGTTGATTACCAGTTCCTATTGAAGGTCAAATTTGATTAAGGTGCTACATCTCAAAGAATCAGGCTTTCAATAATAGCCCATTACCTTTGAACAGTTGACTGGCAGTAGACTTCTGGCTTCTAACAACTATCACCCAACTCTATGTCATATTCGACCCCTTTCACAGTACTCATCTTACCTTTTCTCTGCCTTTGTGTCTGTCTGTCTGTCTCTTTCACATCTGTGAATAATTATTCTGTCCCCATTCTTGACTTTTTGTTACTTTGATGTTCCTTCTTCTCTCTGTGTGTCTCTCTTTTACATCTTTAAAGCACTCTTCTTCCCTTCCCCCTCTCGAATTTTTTCACTTTGATATTTCTTCTCCTCTGTGAGGCCTGAAGTCACCTTAACTATCAAAATGCCTGCCATTTGATATAAATAAATAAAACCTTGGAACAGAACAGGAAATAAATACAAAAAATCGATGAGCCAATCTCCTCACCCATGTCCCAAATTATATCCTAACATCACGAATCCATTTATTTGAATTCTGTCCAATTAAATGAGAAAAGCTGCCCTATATATTGTAATGTTATCATTTGTGCAAATGTAGTATTTGAAAAGAAGTTGGTTGACCATAGCAACATAACCTTTCAATTGTCACAAATTCGCCCATAAAATGTAAAGCCGGTACAGCAAATGCCAGGAGATTATTAAAATCTTACCAAACATATGCAACGTGCAGGCAAGAGAGAATAAAAGAAATGAAGGACTCCGAAGTAATTGAAGATCTAATTTATCCATAAGGATACTCATGATGGTTCCTCGATTTCCAGATGGGTAAACAGGGACTCCATATCTCGAAGCAGGGTTCGAAGAAGGTCGAGCGCTGGCGTCTTGACCGCAGGAGGGGCAGTAATTCGGTCCTCCTCCATTAGCGCTGCCCTGTCCAGTTAACATTTCCCCTTTCCCTCCATCCGAACTGCAGTAGGAAATTTGTTGTGGCAACTCAGAAGCATCTACCTAGTAGATGGGGGGGGTGTCTTGATTACTAAGTAGTTCCAAGTATTGTATATTAATGCTCATTCAAAATAAGTATAGAAATATATTCACATTGAAGATATTATGAGGTTGGAGTAAATTGCATACACCGTTATGGCTGTTGACGTTACCTTGTTGTGGTTTCTGCGTCGATCTTGAGATACTGGATTTATCTGGGCATTGTGCTTCAATTCACGATAGATGGCTGCTCGAATACGCGCCTTGACAGCGGAATCAAGATATACCCGAGAGAGTTCAGAAGAGATCGCGCGATCGGTTTTTGGGTCGATATTGCTGCTGCCATCGCCACTGAAAGAATGGGAGATTGGTCGCAATTGGGGAGCTACACGATAGACGTCTTCGGATCGATCCCGACGTCCAACCTCAACACCTAAAGCACTCATTGATCCAGCCTAAAATTGGAAATAATATCCACTAGTTAATTTCATCATCACTTCACACATTGAGATAAAAAAGTTGCAAGATTCCTTCAGATAATGCAAGTGACTAAGAAATTGTTCGTATAAATTAACTTAAATAATTTTTAACTCTATTAATAAAAAAAAGCAGAGAGGCAGTGTTGAAACATCTAATTAAAACGGGAGCACATTTTCAAAAGGATTTCATAGATGCCCCACAACGCTTCCTACACCAAATAAAGGAAGTGACGATCGAAGTAGAAGCAGGCAAGAGAAGTCTCCGCGTTTCAAAAATCGCAGATTTATAGAATTTACAGTATTCGTTTCTCCATGTTTGAAATCTACAATATCTCCACATTTGTCTCATCAACGATCCGAACAACAGCTACAAGATGCAAAAATTTTACGAAAGCAATAAGATCCCATCAAAGGTAGAAAAGTTATCATGGGGTACATAGTTTTCTTATTCTAGTATACCGAGGTGAGAGCTCTGACAATTTTTGGGAAAAAGATATTACTGGCTTCTGCCAATCAGGTATGAAAAAAATTATGAATAGTTAATACCGGGAGTATGTACCTAGTGGAGAGGTGGCCCCATGTCAGATGTGCGCCCCACAAATACATTGTTTCAGACTAGGCATTTTGTGGTAGACCCATTCCTCATAGTCTTTTATATGATTGGTTAGTCAATGGATCTGCAGCTCAAAGAGTAAGCACCATATTCACATTAAAATACCATTTGAAATACTCAGACATAAGTAATGTGTACATTTTACGAAATGGAAGAAGCAAATTTCAAAAAGCACATCATTTTCAATTTAAAGTACTTTTAAGACAACAATGACTCTAACCAATGGGACATTGCATGACAAATCGGACTAAGTCAATAGGAAATATCCAATGAACTTGGGTTTGCCCAGGTTTGAATAACGATTTTACCCACCTTTCAGCCTACTTCACATTCGTTCAGTACAGATCTCATCGCTCTATCTTTAATCAATTCACTGCTTCCCCTTTCGTCAACTGACATTTGCATTTTGATTACTAATTGATGTTCCACCACAATCACTCTCTACCCTTGTAGATGTGGAGTTCGAAAGGCCATGAAATAGAATGGTCTATCTTCTTTAATCAATCCTACGTCGATGAACACTAAGCAATTGGCGGTCCTACTGTAAAAAAATTGGAACAAGAGAATAAATGAACCCAAACCCCACATATTACAATTTGATTGGAAGGACTTAAGTGAAAGACTAGGAAATCGATTCCTATCGATCCATATCTAATGACCGGATACATAAACCAACCAACGAGAGCATTAAAACGCAGTTTTCGCGGAGATGCACTTTTGTGATATATATGCTCATAAATGAATGTCCAGTGACTTTGTCACCTCTATTGGTCAATTCCGGTCACATTAGGGTGGTTAAAAAAGATAATTTCATTCTATACTTTCTGCAACGGATTTGTGGATCTGTGGTAGAGATACTAGCAAGGCAGCTAGAGTGCCTTCCCTTTATCCAAGGAATTATAATCATCGCTACAAATATGATTAATTAGATAACGAATGGGACATTCTCTTTGCTCTTATTAAAGTGTTATGATTTTCGCGAATATCGCCATAGCGACGACTAAATTAATCCGCATTTAAGCCTATGGAAATGAGGAAATCACAGCCAGTCTTTGTGTCCCAATTCTTTCTCCTCAGTTACGGAATGATTCAGATGAAGTGGAAGTCGTTTTGCTATTAGAACATATTCTACATAGTTTTAATTCAATAATCAAAGACCATGTATAACTGATTCCAAAAAAGGTTATTAAGCAGACTTACTGATAGATTTTCTCCGATCTTATTTAGAAGAGTAGAAGGGCCTCTGACGCATACTGTCTGCTCGCCCCCCCCCCCCCCCCCCCAACCCTCCCATAAAAAGGAAACAAGCTCCAATCTGATTGGTTGTTCATTCTATAACCACAAAATGGCTCATACGAAAAATATCAGTTAGCCTCCCAACAGGCACTTCATTTCGCTTGTCAACTCCAATCCAGAGTTCGTTCCTAATTTTCTAACACAGCGTTTGATCTTCCCTTTTGGGGAAAGCTAATGGATTAAGACAAATTTTAGTAATTTGGGGATGAAGCTCAAAAAGGTCTTTGAGTCGAATTTTGACGGGTGGTCAAGTATGGGGAAAATCCTATTTAACCGTAGGTCAGGCTAATCAAACGCCACAGAATCAAAAATAAAAGCATCCAGCAATTCAAGTGGACAAATGACCCCATAGCTAGTCAAAAGACCATTGAAGAAGATACGAAGGAAGTGCTCTCAGTGATGTGCTTGATAACTCAAATTTGTCAAAAGGGAGAAGTTAAAAGAGCAGCCGAAAGTGTATACGTTAAAGAAGCATGTTTATAGACTAATTTTAACGAACAGCTAGCCCAGATTGAGGCAAGCCAAACGATCAAATATAAAGAATATCCGTAGTTAAGTGACAATTCTATAAGAAGTATTAAAGTCGAAGAGCAAATTATCCTTAAGTCAAACAAACTACTCTGTTCTAAAACGAGCAAAAAACTACATTGATGCAATATAGAGAACAAAATTATGAAAATGATATACCTTTTCAGAACTACCCGATATACACAAAGTTGGACTTAGAGCGTTGTCCATAGCCGAAAGGGGCCGGAATAGGGAGTTTGCTGTTCCTATTCCCACCATGGTAGAATTCGTAATGGTCGTCAACTTCGTGGCATTAGATGGATCCCTCGATCTACCTACAGAAACCGCTCGTGTTGTGAAATTTTCCGATAGAACAGCTGGAAGTTGATGATGCACCTGCCGTACAGTCTCTTGAGGACTCAATACAGTGAGTCCTTCGGGAATTAAGGCATTCTGGAAACCTGAAGGCCATCGGCGAAAGACGCTATTGATTTCAGGACATCTCATGCCCGGTGCGATCACTGCTTGAGCTTCAAGTTTCTGCAGAATCGCGTCTGCTATTCGGATCACGCCTGATTTACTGAAGTCATGGGGAGGATACAATAGCACCACTGGCTGAGGACTGGAGAGCTTTAAATAAAAAGAGAGATTGCATTATCAATGCTGAATGTGATGTTAGATCCCTAAGCATTTCTCTAAGTAAATAATGGAATACAAACTTGTAATAATAGTAGATAGTGCTTCAAATTTGCGCCTTACATGAAAGCGACAAGTTTGAATGTCCAGTTTAATGGCATAAGTGATCATAAAGTATGAATTTGCAACAAATTATCTCAATCTCTTACAGCCTACATTCATTTTCATTTTTAAGGTACATCACCAAGATTAGTAAGGAAATGTCCGTTTACAATTTCCTATGAAGAGTACATTTTCTACCTCTCAAGTTTGATAAGCGAAGTAACCATACATGGTGTTACGAATGCAACATTCCAGAGTTGAAACAGAACAATAAGCAGAGCAGAGAAGGCGAACGGAATTAAGAAAAAATGCAAGAGGGGAAGGAATGTCAAAGTGACAAAAAGTCGAGAGGGGGGGAACAGAAGAGTGCTTCAAAGATGTAAGAGACAGACACAAAAGTAGAAAAAAGGTAAGATGAGCAATGTGGAAGGACCCAAACATGACATAGAGTGGGGTGATAGTAGTTTTAAGTCAGAAGTCAACTTCCAGGTAATAGACTTATTTTTGCCGTATGAGCATACGTTGCCTAGGGTGCACCACGTGGAGGTAAGTCCATCGTACACCCCCCCTACCGTAATACTAGTATCTCAACAATAGTTAATGTGGCAGGCTAGACTGAATCACTTTAGTCTCGAACGTCTCGGTCAACCAGGTAATTTGGATCAAGAATTCACCGCAGTTGTGTGCATGTTGCACTTTTGGAAGATTAATAAGATTCGTATTAACAACACTTGAATGTGTGAAATATGTAAAATTGAGAATTTTATTGAGGCATCATGTGTATGTTGGACATCCCTAATACATGACGGTTTGATATATATAGCCTAGTAAATTGGTATCGATATAAAAACAGCATTTCAAAAACCGATATGTAAGATTTCGGCAACTTACAGGGGGTTGGCTATTATTCTTTCGTGGGCGGTCAACAAGCCGATCCGATGCACTGGAACTCCTCATGTGCGGTTGAATTGACGCAGAAGATAGCTGATCAATATGTTCATGGCTTCCAGCTTGACCTTCTGCGCAGACAGCAGCAACCGCTGCCTGTCTAACCAATTCATAGTCGGCGTCATTTCGAAAAGAAATGAGTTCATTGTCTCGAGTGATTACCATTCCGTCCAAGCTGCCGGTGGACATATTAAGTTGACGAAATTTTTCCTCAATAATACGATTCATTATTCCTCCTGTTCTGGAATTCGGAAACAAGAAACAGGCCCGTAATTACGATGTAGCGAATTACACACATAACTTGTAGCTGTCCAAAGAACTCCACTTTCACTCGGCAAACAAATTTCATTCATAGAACTAGTAAAGTATAAGCTATAATGCAGATCTTCACCATTTTTTGTTAAAACGAAAGGCATATTTGACTCAGCAAATTTTATAGATTCGGAATCTGGATGGATTTTGAAGAAACTACCAGAATTTGAGGGTATGTTCAGGTAAAC